TGTAAATGAGGACTTAGATTATGAAAGAGTTAAAAAATTATGGGAATTAGAAGCAATTGGGATAAGTTCGGATAAAGAAATATCTCTATCAGATAAAGAAATTTTAGAGTCATTTGAACGAAATACAACTTACAAGAATAAAAGGTATGAAACTCGATTATTGTGGAAAGAGGGTGTTGAAGGTTTAAATAACAATTATGAAATCGCGAAACAGCGTTTACAATTTTTAAATAATAAGTTTCAGAAAAATAGCGAGCTATATTTAAAATATAATGAGATAATTAATGAACACTTGAGAGATGGTATAGTGGAACGGGTAGATACGTATTTAAATAGTAGTTTGAAAACGGGGTATTACATGCCTCATCACGCGGTAGTGCGCGAGCAGAAGGATTCTACAAAGGTTCGAATAGTTTTTGACGCTTCTTCTAAAAGTAAGGGAAATTTATCACTTAATGATTGTTTGGAAAGCGGACCTAATTTAAATCCTGATTTGCTAAAGATTATCATTAAATTCAGGGTACATTCAATTGCGTTTTGTGCCGACATTCAGCGTGCATTTTTAGAGGTAGGCTTAGCTAAAGAAGATAGGGATTTTTTAAAGTTTTTTGTGGATAAATGAAGAAGGGTCAAATCTCGATCACAGTAATCCCAACTTACAAGTTCTCCAACCCAACACAATCGAGTTCCTTTCGGGGTCAAGTGCTCACCTTATTTATTAACAGCTACAGTAAGACTGCATTTAAAAAAGTATGAAGATGCCTACGAAGAGGCATGCAGTATGTTAAAAGAGCTTTACGTAGATGATTTAATTTCTGGGACAGTTAATGTAGCAAAGGCCTTACATTTAAGCAAGGACATGATTTTCATTCTTAGCGAGGCCAGTATGAATTTACGTAGATGGGTTTCAAACTCACCTGAGCTGAATGAACTATGGAAACTTAATGGAATTGACTCTCGTGAAACATCTGAAGACTCTTTGGTACCGTTGAAAGTTTTAGGTCTTATCTGGGACAATGTCAATGATAATTTGAAAATAGATGTATCTCAGTTTGAGAAGTTACAAAATCTCAAAGTAACTAAACGCATCATTTTAGCAGCATGTGGTATGCTCTTTGATCCCTTAGGAATTATGAATCCATTTTACTGTTCGAATTAAACTCTTAATGCAAACTATGTGGGAAAAGGGTATTCAATGGGACGAAAGTGTTCCCCTTGATACAGAATTCATATTTCAGGAATGGTTAAAAGAAGTTGAAAAAAATAAAGTTTTTCGAAATTCCCAGACAGTACTTCAGTGATATGTGTTGGAAGTTTATAGAAGTTCACATATTTTCTGATGCCAGTCCCAAGTGTTATGGTGCCGTAGCATATTTTAGATTTAAGAAGAAAAATAAATGTAAAACAAGTTTCATAGTGTCGAAATCCCGTTTGGCTCCATTAAAAAGGGTAACACTCCCTAGGCTTGAACTTTTGGGAACATTAATTTCTGCAAGATTAGGTTCGTATTTGCAATCGATATTTCCGCAGTTGGATAAGGGAAATATATTTTACTGGACTGATTCCCAAATTTGCATTCACTGGATCAAGGGATCTGCCAACGAGTGGAAACAATTTGTTAGAAATCGTGTGGTAGAAATCAAGGAGAAAACAATTTTAAACAACTGGTACTTTTGCAGTGGGAAGACAAACCCTGCTGATAAACTTACGAGGGGGATGGATGCTGAAGCTCTAATTAATGATAGTGATTGGTTTTCTGGGCCACCCTGGCTTTCAGAAGTAGATATTCGACATCACATAAACGAAATGAATACCGAAGCTGACTTGCAAAACGTTAGTGAAGAACGTAAAATGTGTTACTTTGAAAACACTTGTGGAATCTACAGAACCGTTACTAAATCTTGAACTGTACGGAAATTTAAACCAAAGTTACTGGGAATAATGGCTTATGTTCTGCGCTTCGTGAACAACTGTAAATCCGTTTCGTGAAAAGCAATCTGGTATGCTTACCCACCTATGAGTTACGGAAGGCTTCAGAATTTCAAAGGTGGTTAGCAAATGAAAACATAAGGTGGATATTCAACCCGCCAGCTGCTCCACATCATGGTGGTATATGGGAGGCAGCTGTTAGATCTATGAAGCTGCATCTAAAGAAATGTGTTGGAACTCAAATTTTGACTTATGAAGAGTTTCTAACTCTAATTGCACAAATTGAAGCATGATTTGAAGCATGCTTAAATTCGAGGCCAATAACACCGGTCTCCAGTGATCCCAAGTGATTTGACAGCTTTGACTCCTGGACACTTTATTATAGGGACTTCTTTAACAGCTGTTCCGGAACAAGATTTAACCGAAGTACGAGTGTCTCCATTGCAAAGATGGCAACTAACACAGCAGATGTTCCAAGGGTTTTGGAAGCGGTGGTCTAAAGAGTACCTGTGCCAACTACAGCAGCGTAGCAAATGGAGACAGCCTAGCAGAAATATTCGTCCTAAATGACTTGGTTCTCATTAAAGAAGATAATATGCCTTCATTACGTTGGAAACTCGGGCGAGTAATAGAGGTGTTTCCTGGAAGAGACAATAATGTCCGAGTGGTTAGACTAAAAACTGTGCGCGGGGACATTAAACGTCCTATTACCAAACTGTGTCTTTTACCAGTTGAAGAACATTAACTTAAGTGTTTGTTTCATATTGAATATGTTTTATTATTTTTTTTTATTTCTTATTGTACTAATAATTTTATTTGTTTGTTCTAGTTTAACCCTCATAGTTAACGTTTCAATATAGTAAGATATAAGATGTTTTGCTAGAAGATTGGTAAGTGTAATATGTAATTTTATACTTTTTGAAGGTTTTGTATGTTTTCAGTTTCTATATTTTTCATTTACTTGTTTGCATATATTGAAGATTGTATTAAGATGAATGTAATTCATCGGGGGGGGAGGAGGTGTTTTGGCCTCCTCGGTGATTGCGGTGATTTGTGCCCAGAGGGCGCACCGCACAAAAGGTTAGTTGCGTTACAGAACGTAAGGGAAGCGGACACGCCAAAATGTCGGGCGTATTACCGCTAATTGAGGTAATTGCATCGTATCTGTCAGGTGGCAGAAAACTAATATGATGTATCAATTCACATGCCAGGTGGCAGAATATGTCTATCATGTACATGCCAGGAGGCATAACGCTTGTAAACATGCCAGGTGGCATACGACTTGTAAATAAATTGTAAATAAATGTACAGTAAAATATCTTGGTGCAATAGATCAAGGAACACGCATCAACAACCTTCTGATCATTTGGATACGTACACCGCATATGTTTCAGTAGCCGGATTCTGCTGTCGAAGTTGCTCTTGTGTTCGAGTATTGCTCTTGATATATCATTTTAAAAATAGTATTTCACTGCATTGGGGTGAGACAGTAAATGATCCATTCATTGGCTTGGACTTCTTAACCATTTGCATATTCATTCCTCGAGTACATGAATGTAGAATTCCATCTTAGTTCCACCTTTTAATTCCAGCTTTCTTATCTTAATCGAATGACGCAGTGCAGTTGCGTTTCCCCCCTTTGCCATCAAAATAATGTATAGAAGTATTTTATTATCTCTTTTATTTCGTAGAGTTTCGGATATTTATTATAAAGAAGTCGAAGTCAAATTTTCTTTGCGGGGGGACTCGTGCAATGAAGTATAGAAAAAGCTGAATGCAAATTGTTAATTATTAATATTAATGCTACGTAATAAAATAAATTCCAGTCTTCTTCAGGAATTTAGAATGAAACAAAGAATAAATATAAAAGTAAACAACATGATTCGGAAAACGAAAAAGAAAGAAATCAAACTGCCCATTCTTTAACGTATCAATGCAGCAGCGACAGAAGTTTTATGGAAAGCCCCGCAAGAATCACCCCACAGTGCATAAAAGATGTGAAATATCATGTTATCTCGTAGTGTAACTAGTAGCACATTCAGTTGGCAAGCAGAAGATTCTTGGTTCGAATCGTAATGAACGCATAACTATGTTTTTACTTGATCTTGTTTACTGAACGCATAACTAAGTTTTTACTTGCAATCTTGGTGAGCGCATAACAAAGTTCCGCTTCGAAAAATTTCTAATGTATAAATAGAGGAAGAAGATTGAGATATCAATATTTTTTTTCAATTGACACTAGACTTCTTGAAACATTCTCTTTATTTCAGACAGATGACAACTTTAAACTTGTACAATACTGATTTTGAATATGTAAAGACGTGGAAAGTGCTGCGATAAAGATGCTCTCGTGGCGTCTTTGACCCAGTTTAAACATTATAAAATATTACACACAAGCTGGTAAATTTAAGACTTACGACGGCGCTCATTATTTTATATTTCTGTCGTAAGCTTCTCATTTTTATCTGGCTATGAAAAGGAGCCGCAGGAAGCTGCATGTTTAATTAGCTAAAGTAAGAGTTAGGAAGGATTTTAGTTTGAAACTTTGCAGCACAATAGAGTGTTCTTAATTTTTTTTACTAGAGAGTGTTATTACAGAATTAAACTCTTGATTGTTAAGGAGGTCAACCTGTATGGGACTAAAGGGAAATCTGTTTCTTTTTATTTTGTTATCAAAGAATTTTGACAGATATCTCACGAGTAAAAGGCTAGATATCGAGGGTAGTTTTATAAGTTATTAATATTTTCCTTGGCGTAAGAATTTTCCAAGAAAAGGCCATAGATTAAAGCTTAAGTATCACATATTGGTTGAAAAAAACTGTATGATAAAATTACATAAAACTTGTAGATAGCTTCCTAATTTAGAAAGAGATTATGCACATATGTACGTATACCTATATATAACGTATACGAGTTAAGAAATGGAAGTATGTTTCATATGTAAATAATCATATAAATGATATGTTTTATGGAAATATTTCAAGTCACATGTTAGCAAAATAATATTATGAAAATAAGAAATATATAAAAGCTAAATTGCTTGTTTTCTGAAATTATTATTTTTCTTCCAGGAGTCACCAGACGTATTCTTCATGGAGCCTCCCACGACAAATGGTACTGATGCCACAATTCTTAACATACCGGTAACGAACGGTCACAGCAAAATGTCGCAGGACGATGACAGCGATTACGTTCCATCAGTCAACAATATTCCCGAAAAGACTGCCAGTGATGAAACGAGCAAGAGCAAACTCAAAGGCTGCCTCGGGGAGAATCTTCTAACAGTCGCCACACTCATTGGTGTCCTAGCTGGTATAGGACTTGGGTTCGGTCTGAAAAAGTGCCAGAGAATGGTCGAAACGAGAGGTTATGTACGTTAGTTTCCCCGGTGAACTTTTTCTCAACATGCTGAAATGTCTCATTTTGCCTCTAATCGTTTCTAGTCTAGTACAAGCCGTTGGCAGCTTAGACACGAAGCTTACAGGTATGGACATAGTTATCCACTTTCAGTTGGGAAAGTTTGCTATTTTAACTAAGTTATCCACTTTCAGATGGGAAAGTTTGCTATTTTAACTAAGTTATCCACTTTCAGTTGGGAAAGTTTGCTATTTTAACTATGTTTTAATGTGGCAAATACTATAAACGTCGGTAGTTTAGTATGTCCACAAGGTGGCCCAAGATAAATCGAATCCAAAGCGAGTGTAGAACACATGAACTGCAGAGCAATATCATACTAGTAAATGAAAGTCAAAAGCCTACTTGCATGCGTCCTTCCGTCTGTATAGGTGCTATTGGAAATGTTGACTTTTATGGTAAGGGCATATTTTGGCTCGATGATCACGCTCATAAATGCGACTTGCTGTAACTCGTCCTGTTGGAGAGTTCATGGGTTGCTCTGCTAAATCTCGCTTTTCAGGCAATAAAAATCACAATTTGGAGACCGTGGAGGTTGTAGATCTTTAAAGTAGTCCTGTCAGGAGTTAAAAATTGAGAGTACTCCTTCCAATGAGACGTGTGCTATATGCTCTTTCGCGCTGTTCTGCCATTGAATACTCTAACGCTTTTCGGTTTCTCTCCTGCCATGTCCGGTTCGGTTAATCTTGGACCACCTTGTTGGTTGTTGCACAAGGATATTATTTTAATTTGTAAAATTTCTTAACACTTCTTTCTGTAAATTTCTTAACACTTCTAATGAATTCATAAGATTATTAATGATCCCGATACATTGCTTTAGAGAATGAATATACTTTTTATATAACACTCGCTGATCAGTACAAGAATCCACACATGTAACTCAATGCAGGAATCTGTGAAGAAAACTACATAATTCAGGAATATTCAGATAATGTTCTTCAGTTATGCTGAAGCGTATGCCCGTTATGTTGAAGACGTCATTTCGATTTTGCTGGCTTTTTATAGCGTAACAGTCTTGATTTTCTTAGAAAATTTTACATATACAAAAAATTCGTAATATTAAGATACATTCTGAACCAGGAGAAGAAAAAAAGAAGGCGATTTTATAGCGTGAGAATTGCTTTTACCTGATACAAGGGAAGGACGTTCAAATCCATATAAAATTTATTACCTTATGTTAAATGAAAAGCGAATAGTGGAAATAGGAAACCAAATTTTCTAAACATTTCTTTTACATATACAAAAAATTTTGGAATTTCCATTGAAAGCCTTGTATTTATAATAGTTGCTTTTATATGTATATAATGCATGCAAAATTCTTATTAATATTATATCTTAAAAAAATTTAATTGCGCAAAGCTTGAGAATTTTTAGTAGACAAATTCAACTTAAAAAAGTGTATTTTCTCTTTGAACGTTATACTGCTTAAGCCCTGCAAAAATTGACGTTTTGTTTATTTCTAGTGACTAAAATTGCCAAATTATCTCTGTGTAAATAATGTATGTAATCATATTTGATCCTAAATTTCAGCTATGAGTCTAGGACTAATCGTTGAATTTATTTTATTATTTATCTTTTACATTAGTTAACCAAAAGTATGTTTCTTCTTTACTATAGTATGAATACTACAATAAAGTTTTCATTATTTGTGGCAGCATTGGCGCATTATTTTAAAATTTCCATTTTTATCCTCTCTCTCTATTTATATATATATATAACAGGAGACAGATAAAAAAGTCCATAATATTGAATCAAACTACTAATTATGGCGCATAAATGCTCTGAAAGTAATTAATTAACTTAGAAACAAAATCTAATAAAAAGACATCATGAAGCATCAACTTAAAAATTAGAACTGAAACAAAAGTAAATTAATATAAAAACAGATATTTCATATAATAAAATCGCAAAAGCTGATAATTTCTTTTTTTTTTTTCCCAAGGAGTAGCTGAACGAATTACCAACAGAACTGAATTATTTATCGATGAAATGCAAAAGAAAAAATATTCAATCAATTGAAAATTTATCTTAAATTAATTATTAATTTCTTTTTAATTTAAGCATTAAAAATGCAGAAATTCTCAGATATTTGCTTTTTAATTGAAAATGATTATTACTCGTTGTTTTTTTTGAATTTTTGTTTTGAATTTTTAGCGTTTAAAATTTAAAAAAATTAATTGAAAACTCATTTTCAGTTGATTGATTACTTTTCATTTGCAATTCATCCAAATATAATTAAGAAGCATGGAGAATTCTTTCGGCTGCTCCTTCACATATATCAAGGAATTATTAATTTTTACTCTTTTATTTTATTGCTTTGTTTTGGTGATAATTTTATTTTGTGTTAAGATCGATTAACAAGTTTTTGCTTTAGATTTTTTGTTATTTGTGCCTTGTTTATGTTAGGTAGCTTACTACCTTTGGTATGAAGGAAAATCAATAAAGGAATCAGAGATAATTAAACATAATCTAATAAAATACTGACTTGAAAACTATTTTTATCTCTCAACATAATCTTCACAATTATTTATATATTTGTTTCATCGTTTTGGCAGTGTTCCAATACTAGCTTAATTAAATTGAGTAATTAATTAAATTAAACTTATATTAAATTCTTTGGTTGTCTCAGCCACATTTAGGTCTTAATCTTGAACATCGTCGTCATCTGCAAAGCTTTTGCATCCAAGATGTTTTATTGTTGCATCAAACGTCACCGCTATTGTTATTGCTAAAGTGTAGAGTATATTTCTCATATCAATGCCTGCATCGTCTGTGCTGTTGAGTCTCTCAATGAGAACAGGTCGCCCACTTCCTCTGCTGAGTCGGTCTCAATCGAAAAGGATAACAGCACGCTGTTCCTCTTTTGTACATTCATCGAGTTGCTGCTTTCATGCAACTGGTACTAACTAACTAAATGAATATGAACTAGGATGGTTTACCACCTATTATTAAACATGCATGGAAAATACTCACTGCTCTTTTTGAATATGTCATGTCAATTTGGTGACTAACTCAATAACCTTCTGTCTTAGATTTACATTGTTTTATCTTTACTTTCTCTGTCTCTATCCCTCTCTAAATATACATGCGTATACTATTTCAGAAGTTTATTCCTTTCCTTTCAGGTAAAATAGGCTTTAGAGCCGTCGCCTATTATATGTTAACGACATTGTCCGCAATAATTTTGGGTATTATTCTCGTCGTCTCTATAAGGCCAGGAGCTGGTGGTTCAGTCAGTATTCAAGATGCAATTGAACAGAGGCCTGCTCTTATAGAAGATACACTCATGGATCTCGTAAGGTGAGTCTGATGACCCTTCCATGTACTAAACAATAATACAAGTGCTACATTCTGTAAATAGTATTTAAGGTCGGTGAGTGTTAAGTAAGTAGCAAGTGGTAATAGTAGTAGTAGAACATTAGTAAAGTGAACATTAGTAATTTAATAAATGGAAGAGAAGATGTGATCTCCATGTGATCTTCAGAGTTACGTAAATTTCGATACTAGGCTTGCTCTAGATTTTTAGGTAATAGTTTTGAATTTCTAGAGTATTTATATGAGCCCTCTTTTAGAATGAGAAAACTATTTTGCGCTATATGTGCTTGTATTAGTATACTAACATAATTAAAATTGCCATATCTTCCGTTATTATGCGGGAATGTCGCCATATCTCTGCTCCATCCTTTATCTCATCTTAATATTTATTCTAAGTTTGGAATAACGCACAAGGCACCTAAAAAATTGACAAAACATCAATGGAAGAAAAGAAATGATGATGAAAGACGAAGTATTGATTTAATTTAGTCACATTTAATATCTCTTACCGGTGCAAAAATTAAGGACGAGACGGTTTTTTCAATATAACTTTGTACAAAAGCTTTCCAAATCAACACATTTAATACCGTAAGATCCCCAATACGTAAGGACATGAGTAATGTAAGCAACACTTACTAAAAGAGAAATCAGAGGGATAAAAAGAAGCTTTATTGAAAAAGTAGCATGGAGCGCAATGCGACTGAAGGCCGAAACATCCCTGTGATGGGTGTCCAGCAAGAAACATCCGGTCTTTAATAGGGGATATGATCTCCCCTGACTGCTAGGCAGGTTTCACAGCGTCTGCCCATGCTGAGAATGAGGGTGTCAATGAGTTGTTGAGGCATTGCTGCCCATTCGTCTTGCAGCGCCAATCGAAGCTCCGGAATCGTTACTGGTGGTAAGGTACGAGCTGCCAAGCGTCTGCCTAGAAAATCCCATACATGCTCGATGGGATTGAGATCCGGAGATCGTGCCGGCCAATCCATACGTTCAATATCCTCACTCTCTAAGAGCTGTTCGGCAGCTACTGTGCGATGACATGGTGCATTGTCGTCCATGAAAAGGAACTGCGGACCCATAGCGCCTCTAAAAAGACGCACATATGGAAGAAGAATCTCGTTACAATAACGGGTCCCGTTGACTGAACCTGCGTCGAAGATGTGAAGGTCTGTACGACTACCAAGCATGATGCCTCCCCAAACGAGAACACCGCCACCTCCATACCTGTCCCTTTCAATGATGTTCGAGGGATGATTGCGGCTTCCCCGCTCTCTCCAGATGAGTATGCGATGAGAATCGCTACTCAGACTGAATCTGCTCTCATCTGTAAAGAGTACTCGTCCCCATTCATTGTCTCTCCAATTCCGGTGTTCCCGGCACCACAGAGAACGCCTTCTCCGATGGGCAGGCGTTAGAGGTACACACCGTACAGGGCGTCGTGCAAACAGACCACCACCGTGCAGTCTTCTGGCCACGGTAAAACGCGATATCGGTCGTCCAGTCGCCTGTGTCGTGTGTCTAGCGATTTCTCCCGCTGTCTGCCGCCTGTTTCTTCTGGCCTGTAAGGCAATATACCGGTCATCTGCGGGTGTGGTTCCTCGTGGACGACCACTACTAAACCCCCGGATAGCTGTTCCTGTAGTTTGAAATTGTCTCCAAAGTCGTGAAACGATGCTGTGAGCAATTCCGAACTCTGCAGCCACACTTGTCACACTGCGGCCTTCCTCCAACTTCCCAATGATTCGACCTCGGGTAAAAGCATCCAGATGTCGTCTAACAGATTGATTATTCGCCATTTCTCGCTGAGGCAGCAACTCGGTGTGATTTTAACTGCTATACGGCGTGCAATCTCTTTGCCAGAAATACTGATCTTACACCGACAACATGCTTTATACTACTCGGACACTCCGCCATTACGTCTACCTGCATATCTGCGCATGTGCTACCGTACATCACCTTACTTAATCTCTTGATTGGTCTTTCTTTCCGCTCTGCCTCTTCGTTCAGCTGATATGCTAATTTTTCGACTTCGTCCTTAATTTTTTGCACACCAGTGTATAGCAGGTACATCTTGTAAATAATATTACATTTAATTTTATTTAATATGATATTGTTAAATTTCATTGTTTTTCCCCACGGAACTGCTTTATTTTCCATGGTTTATGTACTTCAATACAAATTATTGTGAAAATGTTATACTATTTTGCTTAGTGCCCTTACATCCAATGATTTCTTAGAACCAGTTCATTTCGCATTACTTATGATGACTAGTTTTGTGAGATACATCGATAATTTTGTATTATGTCTTACACAAAGTGAAATGAGGTAATTACAAGTTGCGTCAAGTACGTTTCTGTACACTGTTACTATATGTCTATTACCATGACGATTGCATTGTGAGTACAACATCATGTTTACAATTAATTATTGGCGCAGTAAATTACCTATACTTAGCTGTTATCATGCTTAGTATCTTGTATTTTTACAGATTTCTCAATATATAATACATTAGACGTTTGCATTAATTCCCCTTTTAATAATCCGTGAAAGGATATACACTATTATTCTATTTTTTTTTTTTTTTTTTTTTTTTTGCATGTTCATACTGATATGTCTTCTTCGTATACACATTTGTGTAGTGCTTGTAAGACACTTCATTTCGTATACACTAATTAATAATAGCTGTTTATGATATTGTAATAGTGCTCAGTTTAAATTATGCTAGGTATATTTTTATTTACATTTGTGATTTTCTTAACTTTGGATTCATTTAGCTTATATTTTTTTCTAAAAAAGGCTTTTAAGTAAACTGTAAAATAATTATCTATAGGAAGCCTGACAAAAATTCATGATAGTTTGCGAAAATTCCTGCTAGCTATATAATCAGGAGAGAGGAAAAAAAACGAAGTTGATCTTAGGTGAGCACACACCCAAGTGCTGACTTCTCCCAAAGCTACTTAAATTTGAGAGAAATTAAAAAAGTGAATTTGAATAAAATTCGGTGAAGACCGAAGAAATACAAAAATTTAGGGAGGAAAAGCATCATTCTTTAGGAAAAATTCTCTAATCTTATACAATACTTGCAGACATATCGGGTGATACGGGTGACGGGTGGTATATAAGCGAAGTGTAGGACAACCGCTCGAAATTATGTCGACAGAATCTACTATAAACCAGCTGGCCGAAAAGGGTTTAGTTGTATGATAGGATGCACAGGCAAACCGATTTACCGAAAACGTTTCAGCTTAAATTATGTCTGTCATGTATGCATCTTCTTAGCGATAATATTTAAAAATGATTCTAGTACTATTTGACTGTAAGCAAACTTCAGGCCTTGTGACATCATCATTGTGGATGGAGTTAATAGTGATCTTTATCTAGACTGCCATTGTCCAAATTCAATCAGTTGTCCTAACAATGTACAATTTGCTTATTTGCATACGGGCGTAGGGATTCGTTTCTTCAGGTAAACAAGATTTGGAATTTTTTCAATTAAATGTTTTCCCAGTGATCAAAGAGAGAAAATCCAATAGGACAGGATTTTCTAGAGGAGCAAGAATGGGTAAATATTCTAAATTATTCGCTAAGAAACAAATGTTTAATTCATCCATACAGGTGTTGGAATTTGCTATGCCATTGTATCCCGTTAAAAGATACGTTGACCGAATTGAGTTGAGAAAATAAAAGAATTTCTGCATGTCTTCTGCATTTTGGTAACTCATTAGTGGAAAAACACCACCCTATGTTTTTGAGTATTTTGTATTTTGTGTTTATTTTTTGTTATTATCTAAAATCAGAAACAAGCGTCTGAGAGAAACCGTCAAAAGTCTTTATTTGGTGTCCTAAACGTTCATCATGCATTTGTAAGATTTCCTATTTTTAATATAAAATTTATGACATTGTTTTAAAAATTATTATTTGAGTTTGTTAGGGCTATAATGATTAATATGTGATTCATATTATGCAGTATAATTTCATGTGATTAACTTTAAGTGCATATCATGCAGTCATCACATAACTGAATATGGTAAATAATGCCACAATTATTTAGAGCAAGTCAAATTTTGCTGAATAATTTATGTAAATTTACATATCAAATTATGTAACTAATACCAAATGTAAGGAATACTGTAAAATAAGTGATCAGTTAGCATTCCAGATGAAGGCTGCGTTGTTAATGTGTTTCACAGAAGAGATGTTTCTATTGGCCATCTCTAGACCAAATATATGGCTTTGGATGGTGCTTTACGAATTCATAAAGGTTTCTTTGCGTTAGATTGTTAGTATACGGGGACGTTAACGGTGGTCTCTGGTGATTAATAACGGGTGTCTCCTATACTTCAGCCTGTAACTTGCAAGGAGCAGCTGTAAGATTCATGGTTCGAACCTAGACTAGAACCCAAATGATTTTTTATACCTGTTGGTTCCGAAAAACTCTGTAACACAATTATTTCGATTGTTTGTTCAATTAAGTACCGCAATGCAGGCGAGAAAAGAAAGCTACAAAAGTCAATTAATATTAAATAAACGTGTTTCAATGGATTTGCAATTTATAACAGCTCGCTCAGTACAGAATAGGTAGTGAATATTATTCTTTTTAGAATTAAGTTATGTTCACTAAGTTATGTTCAGGCAGGTATACTACTCATCAATTTTGCAGAGACTGAAGATTAGAAAAGAATAAGTACTTCTTCTATGACGAACCAATATATAGGATTGCAGGAAACTCACGCAGCTAAATTCTTTTGACTTCACGTTTTCATTTTTACCTTTCTACTTGTGCAGCAGCTGTCTAACCGTTTTGCCTAGTCGGGGTAACTTCGGACGTGTCATACGCAAGGCTCATCCCATCGCATAATCGAGAATCTTTTTTTTAGAATTCTCAGCCAACATTCCCTAACGTTATGGTAGGAAAATCATGTCATTTCTCCACACGTTACACGCGGGAGGCGGATTATAGCCCAGGGGCCTGTTTTCATGTGCTTCGCACCTGATCGTTCAACAGCAACATCGCAAAGTAACTTTAAAATGAGCATATCTTTAGAATTTCCGATACACAGTCTCGCGCGCTGGAGGAAAAAAAATGCTTCTTTTCTCACTTTGAAATCGTTTAATTTTTTTAATCAAAAATTCATAGTGTTACGAAATATGAAATCGATTACAAAACACATTTTTAATTCAAATTAGGGCTTCCACATGCCCATATCTATGGAAGATTACGTTATTCAAATTTTGATGGCTCTAGGTACCGTTGTTTTATCACAATATGAGGACACATACATTTATGCAGATTCTTCGTTATTTAATTTCTTTAAATATAATTCAGGTCTACAATATTTGGTGGTAACAATTTGAAAAGTGATTCGCCATTTATAGCTTTCAACGTAAAATGCCAAAACGAAATTAATAGTTTTTCAGGGCAAATTGGCCCTTTGAACTAATAATGCATGTCGATACAATTTGGTGGAAACATTTAAAAAGTGAAACGGATATAATTGTGAGGGTTTTGAGTCTAATTTTTGTAGAATTTGGAGGAAAAATCATTGCAAAGTTTTGCACCTTATTTTATTCTTCAGTGCTATAAAATTTCACTACTGTGTATCATCTAAACATTCTTATTATTCCCTTTTAACTTTTTTTCCCATTTGCAGGAATATGTTTCCACCTAATATTCTTGAAGCCTGCCTCAGACAAGTAAGCAGATAGTTTCAGTAGATTATATTCCGTAATGTTTTACATTTCTTTTGATGCAAACTGACAATGTTTTCTTTTCTCTAGTACTCTACAATATTAATAAAGCCAGAGAATATGACAAACGACACTGGTGAGTCATAAGAAATTTTTAAGAATTAAAATTCTTAATGAATGTATGTATGTTATTAGATGTTTAAAAACTAAATAATGTAAAATGAAACTTAGAATTTTAATACACTTAGCGAATTTTAGCATATTTCATGCATTTTTTATGTCAAAAATACTTTTTGTCAGAATAAGCATTAGAAAAATATGCCAATATGTTACTTAACAGTTTTCGAATAATTAATTTTTAGTTCCTGATAAAATTGCGTCCATCATAGTATACATTATTGCTAATCGATGGCATATAAAATCTTTTACTTAAGCTTGCTATTATAGAAGTGCTTTGCTCAATATAGTGTAAAGTTAGTTACTTAAAAATATCAACCTCTGATACTTTTGCAACGAGTCTTATTTTATAGCATAAATGTAAAAATAAAACAGGTGCTAGAACATCCCATAATTGATCGATTACAAAATTTCTAATTTTATTTCCTATGTGCATTATCGTCAGCATCCAAAATAAAATTGAACGGTTATTACGAAATATTATAGTTAAACATAGATTGAAAGGCCCTCTGTATATTTTTCTGCTTAATTTTTTTCAGACGATATTATATTCTTAAATATTTTGATATTTTTGTGTTTGTATTATTTTCAAAAATGAAAACGGAAAAGCAGAATCAAACGTTTCTGCTTTGAAATACTTTTGGGCTTGAGTTATAATTTTGTAAAAAAAAAAAAAAAAAAAAAAAGACTTAGATTATGAAGTAGCAACAGCAGATATTTTATTTTTATTGAAACAGAACGAAACATTTGTATTATGTTTTCAACAACACGGAAGGAGAGCTGTTGGAAACTCTCATTTCCTGCTTGTCGCAACGTTAAAAAAATAGTTGTAAAATTATTTTGTTTGATTGTAGCTTACGTCTTGAAAAAATAACTAGCTAGCTAAACGAAAAATATCATTAAATGTTTTGTATTTTGAAACTTCTCAATTTTTAATTTTGTTAATTAAAAAAATTAATAATAAAATACTCTTTGAGCCGATATATTATAATCTTACGTTTTCAGGTAGGAAGTTTGTCACATTGATTTCCTTTTCCGTATACTTGCGTGGAATATGATTGACAGTTTTATCAAATTTTATAACGACAGGGACATTTTCTCTTTCGAAACTCTACCCAATCATTCTGAATATCTTTAGCAAATGTCAGGCAATAATCCGTTAGCATTGAAAAGTACCCTTTATCCTGGACTGTCTTATCTGGTCTCTGATGAAAATGATACTAAGGTTCAAAGTATTTTATACATGTGAAAGGAGCTTCATGTTTTCATACTCTTCCTTCACATGGACACCATGGAAATGTTCAAGGGAGTCAAGTCCATACTTCAAAGAATATTTCGATTGTAATTTTTCTGAGATTTTGTTTCTCAAAAACGTTCATAAAATCTTAAAGAATTTGCGAATGGAGGAGATCTGTAGCTTTTTCTAAAAAGGTATATGGCATAGGTTTAAGATAACCTGCAAGTTTAGAGTTATAAAATAATACCAAAACCGCATTTACGTTATGCAAATATGTGTACTTTCAGACGAAGCATATCTTGTACTAAGACCCTGAACCTTACTTGTACAGAGGGTCGTTCGCATTTTATGGAAACGATTTAGATAATTTACCACTATACTATGTACTATTTAATACTATGTACGCAAAACGTATTTCTTGCGGTGATCTGCGCCTACCTGATAACCATGATTCTTAGTTGTAGCTCTAGCTCTATTTTCTATGAAAGTAAACCTTTTCTTAACACTGTCATACCAATTTTATCCGTCTTCTCTTCGGCCTTTTCTAAAGTCCATTCAGTGCTCTTGAATACCGTTTTTCTAAGGCTCGTTTTAACAAACCGAAAGCGCAAAATTCCATAGGAGAAGTGTCAGACAATTTTACAGGTATTTCATTAAAATGGGATACATTTTATTCCCGTTTAATATTAATTCTTTACTATATAGCCGCAGTTGACTTAGGCTTTGTCCGTACGAAACTAAACTTAAATATTCCATATAAGGCTGGCGTTTCTTCTTCAAGAATTGAAAATATTTTTCTGAGACTACAGTGAATAAATCTTAGCCTCACATGAGATTTTTTTAAAATTTTGATTTACCGTTGTAGCAAAATCGTGATTTTATAATCAATCCCATTGGGGACTTTTCTGTACATTTGAAGAAGCCATTTCGTTCGGTCAATTTCATCAGCTGAACAATACAAAATTAATCTTCTTTCTATTGCAGTCACTTAATATTCCTCCACTGGTAGTTTGGTCCTGATCTCGAAACCCGGCGAACAGGCTAACTGCGTCGGCGTTTCGTGTTTTTTCCATGTGCAAGGTGGATACGAGCCAACTTCCTTCAGGAAGTCCTCCACGAAGACATCCCTCTCCCTTTGGCAGATAGCCCTCGAGTTTTTTGCATGCCACAAATGTCCATTTATCAGCTGGGGGTTTTCCGTATAAATTTCTACAATTTGTTTTTTTTTCCGCAATATGCTTTGTAAAAGCAGATGAACTTTAAGTTTAAACATCGTTCTTAACTTTACATTTTTATGAATGCTTTTACTTACAGTGCTAAAAGGCATTCCCATTTCCAATACAATGGATCATGGATCTTAGAGTCAGTAGATTTTCTTTCAGGATCACTTTCATAGTATTTGCCCGCTTTCGAACAGTCCTAGGATGCAGTCTTGCGGGCATTTTTCTTCATATTTAGCTACACATTTTTTCCTTTCAGTTTTAGGCCCATCAGCAGGTGAGCCGTAAAGTCGTTGAACACTAATAGTTCGGTTCTCGTTCAAATCCCGGCGAACGGGCTGGCTGCATGGCAGTTTTCTTGGTCTTCCCTATGTGGAACACAGATATATAAGTAAATTTCCCTTAGAAAATCCTACACGAAGACATTCCCCTCCTTATGAAGATAGCCCTCCAGTGCTTTGATATAGTTAAATAAACCAAGCCAAAATTTCAGATTAAATATACTTGAAATATCTTTCTTTGAAATGCAGCAACCTTGATTTTTACCCCGGTTTGCTATTTATTGATACGAATATTGTTCCGCGGGAAGTGCATTAACCCTCCAGCCATCTATGAATTTCGGAAGCCATTTTCAAAATAAATTTCTTATTTTGCGTTCCAATCAAAACAAAAAAGTAGCAGACAATTATATTGAAAATGTCCAAATCTTTATCTTAAAATGCTACAGAAAATTTAAATAGAAAAGCATTTCCAGAAAGTACGCATGATCTTCTGTGTATCACGAAAAACGAATCGTTTCATATTGTTTTAAATCCGATTTATTGCTTACAGTGGATCACAGACGGTTGTTGGTACCTATGATAGTAAATATTTATTTTTCTTATAAAGGGGTGTGAGTGTTACTGAATATTGCATACAACATATTTGTCTTGTTTCTTGTTGTTTATTTTTCTAGTCTTTTCATTTTATATGTATTTTGATATGAAGATATGCTGTATGTCCCTTGTCTAATTGCACTTTATGTACAACTTGAAATGCTATTTATTAGAGTATCAAAATGCACTACACTGCTCCTGTTAGTAATATAATAGTTATTATTTTTATGCACTTCTAGGTATTATCTATTTGACTGGCATTTCGAACATTTAATTTTCAGTCCGTATTGTTTATTATAAGTTTTAACTGTGCCTTTTTTGCACGCGTGCACACTCATTGTCAACAACGTCAGCACATATGGTAAATTAGTGCAATCACCGCACAAGCTTTACAACGCTCCTGTGTATCATTTGTCACATCTTCTTATTTCATACTTAGGTCTAGTTCTTTAAATTTCATAAAATTACGAATCGCATTTTCCGTATATCCTAGTTTATTAAATCTTGCTGCACGACTGAGGATGTTAGTAAATTCTACTGATTGCAGGTATAATGGTTAAAAACGCTGCTTGCCTTATCGATTGACCTCGGTTCGAATCTCTAAATCATGGATATTTGTAAGAATATAGTGTTCGTGCGCAAGGGGGCACTCAAAATACACGGCGAGCCAGAAGTTCTTTCTAAAGGTTGGCGGAAAGGGAGGAAAAGGGAAAGACTCTCCCACCGCTTCCTGGAGTGTTCTCTCTCAGGACTGGAGCGGATTTGCTCAGTTAGTGAGCGAAACTGTATATATATGTGCAACGGGGAAATTCTGGTGCCCCGTCCATTTCTACCTGTACGTGCTGGTGAGGTAAATTAGCTATACGCTTAGACGCTGATAAGCTGCACTGCCAGCGGAATAAAAGGGATGATCTTCAACAACACTGAGCGGATCTGGACTTAATCATGATGCCAAAGTGCCCAAGCTATTAACTACAGATGCCTTCTTCCTCTTGGCTATCTTTAATTTGTGGACCTGATTTGAATAGTTATCTCGATATCAGGAGAATAAGCAACATAATAGTTATCACATTGCTAATATAACTAATAGAAGACTTTTCAAACTTCCCTATATTATGTACTCCAGATAATGAATGTTTTTGTAACTCTTCTACCTGTAATAGTTTATAATTGGTACCAAAATGAGAATCTGTGATAATAATAAAATTCTGTAGTTGCCCACAGATTGCAAACATTGATAAGTTTTTTCCAAAATCAGCTACATTGATTGTTGATGTTAGAGTTCACTAACATTATAGTAATGCATTTTGCTTTCAAGGGTAAATTTATCATTCGCAAATGATAAATACGTAATATGTTAATTTTAGTTAAGAAGAAAGGTAAGACTTTACTTTTACTGTAGTTTTATAAGGTATTTCTCCTGCCTTCCTAGCGTGCCTTCGTAGTGCAGTCGTTCTGCAGGCTAGACCGGTATTCCAGAGGACCGTGGTTCGATTCCCGGCGAAGGCGTTTGCTCATTTTTCATCTTGCCTGCTTCCCCCAAATACCTAATATCTCTACAGTTTTGTCTTAAATTTCATGGTACATGATGACCCAGGTAAACGTAGCTTGCCTCGAGTAATAATATGATAAGATAGGCACTATCTTTCTGACATGCCTATCTTAAAGAAGTGTATAGGAAGGCAAAATAAATATAAAACACAACTTTATTCGGCTACATCAAGTCAGCGGAAAGGCATAAAGAGACAAAAATGGCCAAACTTTCGTGAGCCACTTTCTAGATTTCTATAATAATAAGTAGTGGTGATACCATTTGTTAACTAAAGATTAATTAATTATTTATTCCTTTTATATTATCCTTCGCAGGAAATCTACGCGAATGGGCGTGGGAAGGTAAGATGGTAGGACAGACGAACATTTTGGGAGTCGTCGTGGCTGCCGTTGTGTTGGGCATAACTCTTGGAAAAATGGGCAAGAAAGGAAAACCTCTTCTCGACCTCTTCACCTCCCTGGGTGAAGCCATAATGATTATTACCAGATGTGTGATTTGGTAAGTAATTAGTGTTTCTTTTATTATTTTCGCAAACATTAACCAAGTCACATGACTAAAGAGCTTAAGTTATACTTTTTAAATCCTGCGACAGATCAGGTACCATCACCTGTTTTTACTCGCTGGCTTTCAACTGCTTTTTCTTAGATGGTAAATATTCTTTTCAATTCATTTTACGGTTCATTTCAGAGTCCTTCGAAATGGAGGCTAAAGATATTTGTTGAAGAGAACTTTGCTAGTCGTAGGGGTAGCTGTTTATTAGTTGAATACTTGAGAAGCAAGCAAGGACTTTCTGCCTGAAAAAAGGGAACCTTCGCGGAAGATTTCCTGAGAAAAATAGCTCATATTCACATCATACACGAGGGAAAATATGGAAAAGCCCATACAGACAGCCATTTTGCCACAATAAAAACAATGATCCTACCATCAGCCTTCAGCGCTCTTATCTGCTTGGCCACCAATGGACGTTTAAGGGATAGAGAGAAAACACCGAAATGTATATAGGAAATAAGAATGTGTTTGAACATTTCGTCAAGTAAACCTTTTTACGATCACTTTCTTGCACAAACGTTAAGCCTCTTCACAATATTCATGTCAGATCATGTCAGTCAACTCTTCATACATGTTAGTTCAAGTTGTATGTATGGAGTTCAAGACTCATTTTTTATTCATTCAAGCTGTAACTTAAAAAAAAAAAAAATTGAAACAACTTATAGAGTTGCCAGTAATGTGCGTGCAATACTCTTTTTCTACTAAACACATGATCTTATACACTTCACCTCACGTATAATGGCAGGAATTAATGCATGTTTCGTCAGGTTTGTTTTTGTCCCTATAAATACATGAGAAACATTAAATTACTATCTTCCTGTTTTCGAAATTCATGATGAACTTTAATTGACAATTCAATGTTATTAAATGCAAATGGAATTAATATTTACTTAAAAATTTTAATGCGCAGTCGTTTCCAGTTTTTTTAGTCTAACTTTTCAAAATTTCAAAAACGGTATTTAATTTTAGTTTTTCTTTAATTATAATTATAAAATTTTTGCTTTACTTATAATTTGCTTAAAAGGCTAACTGAATGAAGAAAAAATTAAAAGGAAGCAGCGCGTCAATAAAAATTGGGAAATTTTAATGTAATGACTTGTTTAATGAACTTGCATGGTTAAATTTCATTAGGTATTAAACAAGCACTTATTTAACTATCCTGCGTTTAGATTACAAGTTCTTGTCTTCTCAGTTACTTGAAGTCTGAAAATCCAAGAATGAGAAAAATGAAACAGTTTTAAGAAGAAACTTAAAGAAAAACTATTTCTTAACTACAACTAAAATTTAAGAACTAGCCACTGCTATTTGCGAGGTCTCAATAAATTCAAATATTTAAATGCAATAGATTCCACTTCATGTGATCGTGGTTATTGTTATCACTCGGATATTATCATTGAATTGCTGAAGTCTTTCCCTTTTGTACACGAAAAGACAGAAAAGGCATAGCATATTGTGATCAACAGTTTTGATAATGTGATTAAAATATTACAGGAACTGTATTTGGCGATAATTTAAAAATCTTATTACTGTAAATTATTTATTTTACTACTGATATTTTTAAACTGTTGTCAAATAAAGTCATGAAAGATTATATAAAAATTTCATAATAACAGGTAAATTTCTCCAAGTAAGGTATTAAGTAGCCGGACAGTTTGATTTTAGTTAATTATTTAAAATTACTCAAAAGCACAGCCTTAGTTTAACGCAGATTTGTATAACTCTGTCGATTTTGAGGGCAATCAAACACAGGTTCCTCTTCTTCAAGAGAAAAAAATTCTGCAAAATTTTAGAAAGAAGTTTTTTCCCACATTGAAAGGGGGGGGGAGAATTCCTTGATATTATCTAGTCAAACTAAGATTAATTTTTTCCGACTAATTTGAAGTTTCACATTTCACATTCACTTCAATGAAGGATGCTCTCCAAGTATTCAAATTGGGGATACAACATCTATAAAATAATTTTCAGAAATGCTATGAACTTTTGGATTAAAGACATTAAGAACAGTTCATCAATAAGCTTTTGCATTTTGCTAATTAAAACTCTGGAAGAAGTATCTATTTATATATTTTTAGTTAGTCTCATATTAAAGGTGAAGGCTCTTGCTATTTTGAAGGCTATTTTTTCTCATCGTTTAATGTTATCATTTGATTAATGTTATAAAATAGCCGTGGACAAATGTGATTACTTTCAGCGGCGCCTATTATATATATAAAACAACAGTTAACTTTCAATGCTTTGCTGGAGTTAACACTGGGTAACAAAACTTCTCATAAATACAAAAATTATTCACCAAAATCATCACTCACACACAGGTGGGCTTCTCAGGAATAATATTACGAGGCGTATTCGGAAACTAAGTACCGTTTTGAAAAAAAAAAAAAAAAAAAAAAAAAAGTAAAAAAATTTTTTTGAATCCAATTTTATTTTTACATGAAAATACATGTCTTAAACTATTTTTCAACATAGTTTCCGCCAATGATCAAACACTTGTCATAGCGGGTGACCAGTTTTTGTATACCATCGTCAAAGAAACTTCCCGCCAGTTTCGATAACCACGACTCCACAGCATTTTTCGTCAGATCCAAAGCGCTTGCCACCAAGCTCGCGCTTCATGTGCAGGAACAAGTGATAGTCGGACGGCACCAAGTCCGGGCTGTACGGCGGGTGATCGAACTGCTCCCAATGAAACTGTCGTATTAACGATTGAGTGACATCAGCAGTATTTGGCCGAGCATTGTCATGGAGCAATACAATTCCTTTACTGAGCATTCCTCTTCGTTTGTTTTGAATGGCACGCCTTAGTTTTGTTAAAATCTCACAATATCGTGCCGCATTAATGGTTTCACCTCTGGGAAGAAATTCAGTAAGCAAAACGCCTTTCCTATTCCAGAAGACAGCGCACATGACTTTTTGTGATGACATTGTGACTTTGAACTTTTGTTTTTTCGGAGAATGAGTGTGTCTCCACTCCATCGATTGTTGTTTCGATTCTGGTGTGAAATGACACACCCAAGTTTCATCACCTGTCACAATTTGGTTTAAAAAGTTTTCTCCCTCATCACTGTACCGCTTGAGAAATGTCAGGGCACTACCAAGTCGCTTTGTTTTGTGAACATCAGTGAGCATTTTTGAAACCCATAGGGAACACAGTTTGCAATAATTCAAGCGGTCAGACACATTTTCGAACAAAACAGTACGTGAAATTTGTGGAAATGCCTCTGAAAGAGTTGTCATTGTGAAGCGTCTGTTCTCATGAATTGCTTCATCAACTTTCCTTACCAAATCATCGGTGACAACAGAAGGCCGACCACTCCGAGCCTCGGCGTGGACATTTGTTCGACCTGCATTAAACATTCTTACCCACTTTCTCACCATTCCATCACTTATCGCGTATTCAACGTAAACTTCTGTCACTTGAAGATAAATTTCGGCCGGTTTAACATTCCTCGCGTTCAAAAATTTAATCACGGCACGAATCTCTCAGTCAGCGGGAGAACTAATTGTCTTAAACATTTTGAATGTGCACAACAAACTGAAAACACAACATAGAGCAAACAAAATGGCGACAATTGAAAGTCAGTGAACAAAGAAAGACTATTGCGCATGCGCGGGACGCCTACCACAGCGCTGCGACGGCGCGAGAATGAAACGGTACTTAGTTTCCGAATACGCTACGTATAACGGTAGCAAACGAAAAGGTATGGAAAATAATAAAAGTAAAAATAACATGTTAGCTGAAGTAAACATTAACAGAGCAAATTTTACTCATGTGACTTCTGTGTTGTCGTATTTGTAAAATTTACTATTGTGATATTTTCCTAAAACTTAAGTTTCCGTTGTTATCGTTTAGGTTATCACCACTAGGTGTACTGTTTCTCGTTGCTAGCAAAATCATGGAAATGGAGGACCTTGCTCTGATCGCTGGTCAAGTGGGTATGTACTCCGTGACGGTTCTCGCAGGTATTCTTATCCATGGCTTCATCGTCCTGCCGCTCATCTACTTCGTTCTAGTGAGGAAGAATCCTTTGACTTTCATGATCAGGATGGGACAAGCATTAGCAACTGCCTTCGGGACTGCTTCAAGGTAAGGATCTTTCTTCATGCTTCTTAAACTTAGGTATATTTAAGTAGCTTAGAGTGATTATTGCCTTGAAAACTGATACCAAAAGGAGATTAATGTTAAAAGATATAATTCAAATTTAAAGCGATGCCTGTCGTTCACTTTCAACAGTGTGCATCATTTGACATTACCTTTTTTAAAGCCGGATAACACATTTATTATATTATTACTTCTTCAATACAACCTGTTGTATATGGTCTCCTCATATTCAGGGTGTTGCTATCACCTCTCAAGTTATTGCATTTGTATAATCCCTCCTTTTGTGTTTCTGTTTTAGGTTCTAAATAATGAGAATTCTCAGAAGTGTATTTTTAAAAAATTATGTATATTCTTGAATTACCTCGAAAGGTTATCGCGATCAAAAAAACTACAGTGTTTCTCCGAAACTAACTGTATGTAATTTAGGCTCATTTTTGAAGGAGTCGCATTTATTAAGACCATTAAATATTCATCTTCAGCTTTTAAAGTGATTTGACGTTTATTTTAAAGGAAATGATTTTTTTTTCCTGATAAGTTTCACTAAAGCGCTTTAATGTTTTACAATGCCACGTACTTGTCTTTGGCAGAATTACTACTTTAGCTTGCATTTCAATAAATTTTATGAGCTATTTGGAATAAATCTGGTAAATAAATTAAAATAAAATATTAAAAAAAAATTACCAGAATTTAAAGTTGCTTTTGAACTCGAGTCTTAACTTTGACTAATATAATTTAATGGAAACCATCTTAGCCATATTATTAAAAAGTATGAATTATATATTACAATTTTCTATTTTAGGAACATAAGGAGTCTGTTATGACGATTTATTTATATTAAAAATGGCAGCCAATTGGACATTACGTCATTAGATTTGGTTCTTGGCAATACGATCAATTACAATTATTTCTAGGTACAATAAATATGTTATCCTATACTGTTGCCATAAAAATAAAAAAATATTGTCGTTGCCACAAAAAATAAAAACTTGAAAAATAGGGTCGTTGCCACAGAATAAAAACGAAACTGTGCATGACGTCATTTCGTCTACGTCATCCAATCCATCTACGTCACTTCCGGTTCTCACGTGATCCAAGATAGGCAATGCGATCGATAAAAAATAGTAAAACACATTCGTCTAAATGATTAGCAGTCAACATTTGTGTAAATGATCTTCATTCATCTGTCTAAATCATTAGTCGAAAAGAAACAATCTCTCAATGGGGAATCCGAAGTTACGGATGGATTCGTACTTTCGTCTTTCCCAAAATTTTCCGTTACATTTTTGCATCCAAAGACTTGTATAACTTTTCGTTACTTCGTTTCTTCTTCCGTTACACAATTGCAATCACTGCATGAGAAGTCTAATATAACAATTCGTTACTTCTTCCGTTACGTGTCTGCAATAACTCTGTATGAAAAGTATAGTATAACTCTTCGTTACTTCGTTCATTTTTCTGGTTCCTTTTTCTGTAACATGTTTACAATAACTGCATGAAAAGTGTAACATATTTTTTATTACTTTTTCTGTTGCATGTTTGCAATGACTCTGCATGAAAAGTCAAGCATAACCTTTCGTTACTTCTTCTGTTACACGTTCGCAATGACTTTGCCTGAAAAAGCTACTCTAACTTTACGTTACTCTTTCTGTCATATATTTTCATTGGGTCTGCATGAAAAGTCCAGTATAACTAGTACTTATTTTTAAAATGTAACTTTCGTTATATATTTGCAATGAATCTGCATAAAAAGTGTAGTGCAACTTTCATTTGTCAGCAGCTTTCAAGAGTGGAAGTTAGTGATCATGTTAGTTTTCTCTACTATAATAGTTCATTTTCTTTTCATTACTCAGGAAAGATTTTTTAAACTTCCCTAATATGATCCCTAATCTTCCTGATATGAATTTTAAGTTAAAGAACAAGTACTTACGTATTATTTCGTCTACCGAGAAACTTGGGAACCATCGAACCCTTAAAGCTAGCAAAGATCTCGCCAAATTTACGCCAGTGGTTTCTGTGAAATTCTGAACCACACTTCTGTTTGCAATGCAGAGACATTAGGTATTTTTGGAAAAGCCGGAGAGATAAAAAATTAACAATGTCTTCCCCGGGAACCGAACCACGGACCTCTGGATACCGGCCCAGCATGCAGAACCACTACACCACGAAGGCACGCTAGGAAGGCGGGAGAAATACCTTATAGCAACTCTTACAATCAGACATTCGTCAGTCTCTCTTTACAAACAAAAAATATAGTCATTGCTGCAGAAGTATTTGATCTACTTCCTTTTTGTGCTGCATAAAAAGGCTTTCATCGATTTCTAATATTTCGTTTGACCTCTGATATTATCAAAAGCTTCGCTTAGAGTACAAATTTCTCTCAGATTATTGTTCCCAACTATTACTGTTCTGACAGCCATATCCAACTGTTCTTTTTTCTCATCCAACAGACATTGATTCTCTGAACCAGCTACAAAAGAGCCGAAGTGTAGTCACAAAATGTGGTTCTATAAAGCTCTAAAACTCATTTTTTTTCCAAAACTAAATGAAAATAGAGCAAAAACAATTGATATTCTTGCTCATGAAAACAAAGGCTGTCTTATCGAAAATAAATTGAGCGTCATATCAAACGAAAGTGCAGATTTTATGAGTGTGTTCCTATCCATAATTAGGGCTAAATCACGCTGGCTGGGGACAGTTTCACGGTCGATAGGATATTACGTAAATATAAAAAGTGAATCCAGAATACATAAAGTCATTTGTTTTTTAAAAATTAATGTAGACCTAAAATTTCAGATAAGAATGCATATTATGGTATTTAATTAAGAGTTTTTGTCTCTTAAGGTAAAAGATTATGCTTTTGCCATGAAGCTCACTCAAGTAGTAGGAAACCAGGGTGATCCAAACATGGTATTAATCAGATTTTCAAAAAGTGTTGAAATTCCAAAACGGATATTAAAGGCAAAATGTTTCGATGAATGGCAGCCTTATACTTTTACAAGTAATATATTACTTGGAATCTCAGTAGCAGTTTATGCTGTTAGCTTTAAAACTGTTTGTTTAGTGCAAAATGGAGATACGCTTTCCCATTCAGAAGAAATTGTTACAAATGAGCACTACTTCATTCTGTATTCGTCAGTACCAAAAGTACATATATATATATGTATAAATGTATGTATGTCTGCTTTTGAACAATTCAAAATTTACCCAGATAGTTTAACGCTTAAAGAATCAAGATAATATTGAATACCTGGACCTGCTCATAATTAAACACAACAAAATTAAATTATATGATAAAAGGAGGGCATTCCAGTTTGATACACAGGTAGCATCTTTACACTCAACTTTACATTGTATTAGCGCCCTCTATTTATACAGTTAGCAGTAACAAACTAATCATTTCATCTTGTTTAGCATATGCTAGTCCTTCTCAGAAAAACAAATCTGTAGTTCTAGGTAAGTTAAATTAAAACTTGCTATTCACTAGCCTTATTATTATTATTATTATTTATTTTTGATAGGTTGTATATAGTTTATTTTAGGTTTACATGCATACGTGTTGGGGAAGTTTCCAGTAGGCAAGAGTATCTAAATTACTTTGGTTTTCTAAAAAATTTGGTTTTCTACTATTAACTGACATTTAATTAATTAGTCATTTTCTTGCTAATTTCTAAAAATTCCAATATTTTAATTTTCTTTTTAGTAATTCACCGCATTTGGTTTTACTTTTGGTTTTGAATTTTACTTTTACTCTTGTCTATAACGATGACGAAACACGAATTGAGTAATTGAAGAGTTAGGTTTGGGGGCAACTTCCCCTTGATAAGTCTGTCTCCTGCCTGGTCAACAATTATTCACTTATGCAATTTAATGTTTTGAAATAATATATTTTTTATGGTTTTAGATACGTGTACTTAATTTACATATGCTCTTAGAATTTAAATGATATTGTAAATTAGTTAGCAGCATTAAAATTTAATTTTTATTTATTTATTTATTTATTTATTACAATTAAATTTCTTAATTAATTTTTTTTACGAATACAGAATATTTATTAAATTCAAATTTCATTCCCTGCAGCAACGGCGCAAGAGGATTATTTAAATTTAATTTAACTTCTTGTGAAACAATATATATATATATATATATACATTTATATACATTTATATATACCCAATCTTACTCTGCTTAATAGTCCTTAACTGGTCTTTATTTTCGCAATCCTTCGTCGTAGACATGTACTTCCATTTGCAGAAGTGTATTAAATAAGGAAAATTTTCATGTCTTGAAAATTTCAAATTTCAAATAGTTAATTTTTTCTGACAAGTAACGAAATCTAACTTTTAATGAGGTCTTCCGTTTCCTATACTTATATTTAGGAAAGTTTTTTCCTCGTCATCAAAAAAATAAAATTACAAGAAATTTTGCTCTTGTACTACGAAACTGACTGAGATATTTAATTTCAAAATTTGCAATTTTTTATGTCATTTGCAAATTTCGCTGAGGGATTGGTTAATTAAGTTAGAATGATTCAAGGTAATAAGTTTAAATGAAGTGCAGCAAAAACTGTGTATAATTTAAAAGGCCGTACAAGGAAGTCCCCATCAATTTTTTCTGATTGTCTGTGAACTTATTTAATAGCACCAGACTGAAATAGAAAGGAAATGATGTATTCTTTATAACTTTATGTATTGTATTCTTTATATACATTAAAATCTTTTTATTCAAATGAAAAATGACACTACGAAGAAATAGCATTCTGTATATAAAAATGATTTTAAAACCAGCTTGCCAGCCTACCAGGATTTTTAACATTGAAAATAATTTAGTTTGTCAATGATTCTCAAAGTATAACATTGCGTTAATGAAATGTACCCTTTGCTTCTTTTACAGCTCAGCTACTTTACCCATTACACTTCAGTGTCTCGAGGATAAAAACTACGTCGATCCCAGAGTTACTCGATTCTGTGTGCCCATCGGAGCTACCATTAATATGGATGGAACGGCCCTGTATGAGGCTGTGGCAGCAATCTTCGTCGCACAGGTTAGGGGAATCTCTCTGAACGTGGGCAACATCATCGCCATTAGGTAAGTAACTAGAGGAAAGTAATGAAACTGGGGAAGAATAGTTCATTTAATAATATAATTAAAACTCGTTATGTCGAAGGACGTTGTTGACAATCACATTATAAGCTAATCTTCTGAATTAACCAAAATGCAGTGTAGTAATGCTCATAAAAGCCTACACATATTATATCATGTATTTTAATCTCCTCTTAACATACTTTACCTAATTTTGCTTTCCCTTTAACCTTATTTACGCGAATTGATTTAATGCAAATTCAAAATAAATACATCATTCTCTTTTTACGCTTGTCGTTTAATACAAATGGGAGAAGCCAATTTTTAAGAATGCACCCGGTCATCGTATCTTCCAACATTTAAGCCAAATAACAACATTTAAGCTGCAAATTTATTTTTGCCACTTATGAACCTTTGTTGCAATAGGTGTAACTGCAGAATTTAAAAATTATTGTGTAAAATGAATATTCAAGCACGTTTTGGAAAAACTGAATGGTCAAACATTAGGATTCATCGATGCGTGGAAGAAATTCTTAGTTACACATTGTGTCAATCAAATTCGATTAAAATTAACTCAATTAAAGTCACAACTTTGAACGCGTGTTCGAAAGTGGTTTGGTCAAAATGTGTGAAAAGTAAAGATCCCACCATCTCTAATATGACGGAATTTCCCAGGATTATTACAATAGCACACATAACTTGTTGAGATGGATTCGATGATTTATGGTTTGAAGATACTGATGAATTGTTAGTCGTCAAAGTCCTAAGCGAAGACAAAATATTAGAGGTTATCTTTGAAACTCCTAACCCCACAGACCATAAATTTGATGCAGGATATGATCCAGTTTTACATCCAGATTTAATAAAAGAAGGACAAAACCTGTGTTATCATTTTGTCAAACACGATCTTAATGCAGAACGTGCTGGGAGTTTCAACATAAATCGAAGTTATTGGCTGTCTCTTATAGAAAATTAACGGCCGAACCCAAACACGAAACATAACGATTAACAACTGAATGTGTACGTAAAACCGGTGAAATAGCAGCACCAGATGAGACTCGTGCTGATTTTATTCAATAGATCTTAGAAAGAATTTCATTAATGTAACAAGACTATGTTCACAACGTAATTTCATTAATAGAAGAAGAAGACTATGTTCACAACGTAACATACACTACACATTTACAAACATCCATGCCTTATGCGAGATTAGAATCCGTTCTCTTCGGTATGGCAGTCAGCTTCATCAATCACTTTTACGTCTAGGCGACTACTTTCAAGAAATAGTGCCACAAAGGGTGTAGAGACAGTAGGTTATTTCGAAGCAGGAGACATGAAAAATGAACAACGCCTTCGCAGGCACTCGAACCGCAGACCTCTCGAATACGCGCCGAGCTTGCTGACCACTACACTACGAAAGCATGCTAAGAAGGCGGAAGAAATATTTTATAAGGGAAAGAGATAAAATTGCTAAATTAAAGCACCATAACAAATCTTTGAACAAAATAGGAAAATATATGGACATTCATGAGCATAAATATGTATTCTATTTTTAATAATACGGTAATTAAAATGTATTTATACTGTTTGCACCGTAGATATTAGAAATTATTACAATTTAACTATTAATAAATCATTACATATTGCGTCAAAGATAATATTCTGCTTGACAAACAGAAATGATTTAGGAATAATTAAATGAAAAAAAAAATATGATCGGCGAGTTATATAGAATGTCGAATTATCGGGAGTCAAGTTTGCATAACTTATTGCACTTAAATTATTGTACCTAACTAACTGTGGAACTTGCAGCAATTGGTAATTTTACTTTATGAGACTCTTATAAAATGTTATTCTCCTTGATTGTAAGCTGCATGACTATAATATCGTTTCCAGCCATAATTTGTCCTTTTTCATAAATTCCCTGTCAAATTAATTTTAGAAACTTGAGGATGAATACTAGCCACTTTTCAAACACCTCGCCTAGATACAAACAGTCCAAAGTCTGAAATCCTTATCATTTTTTTATCGAAGGAAATTTGTGCAGTAATCTCAGTCAAATTCAGAAAAACCAACCAACAATTGCTTTTTTTTTTTTTGTTTTGTTTTGTTTGTTTTGTTAAAGAATTTGAAAGAGAATTGCATTTCAGATGAATTATATGTGAAATATCATTTATATGTCAAACATAAGTGTACAGACAGATAAAATTTACAATTATCTCTATAATATTGTTTTTTGCATACGCGTTGATCGATATGAATAGTAAGCTTATTTTGCATAAAATAACCCTGTGATGTTGGTTTTTTTGACACATGTCGGTTGCAATAAACATTTTACATAGCTTTCGTGTCTATTACAGATCTAGAAATTTTAGCTATAACTTAACTTCTTCATCTGGGTATGGCCTAAATTAAAACGAGAAACGGAGCTAGAAAAATATTTTTTGGGTATATTATAAAACAGGGAACGAACGAAAATTGAAATACGCGGATTACAATAATATAACTTTAAAGTTACTTTGTATGCTATCAATAATAATATTATAAACGTTTATTTATTTATAATAAAATTTGTTAAATGAAACTTCAGCAAATGGAACGCAATGTACCGGTAAGAATCAGATGTTTCATTGCAAATTCAACAACCAAAAAAAAAAAAAAAAAAAAAAAAAAAAAAAAAAAAAATGCTGCAATGTTTTTGGCAAATGGACAATGAACTAAGCGAAGGAGTTTAAGCGAAGGAGTTAACACTAAAAATAGATTGAAGGAAAACGTCCCATTTACGAGAGTAGAGCAAGAAAAGCGAAATTAGTAATGATAGCAGGATGTAAATTTTTTCGATACTGAATGACATTTCATGAATTATAATGAATATGACATTTCATGTATTTAAAGTATGAAATCCCAACACATATCCTAAGCGGAGAGTTCGCATGGCATTTTATCTTAAATTCACAAATTATTTAACTATTTGAATTTTTTTAACTATTTATACTCTTTCTAAAATTAAATATTATTATATGTTTTGAAGATGATCTGTGGTAAACGGTTATAAATGTAAACTTCTGGTTTCAGTATCACCGCCACAGCTGCCAGCATAGGTGCAGCTGGTATACCGCAAGCCGGACTGGTGACCATGGTGATGGTGCTCAACGTCATTGGCTTACCAGCTGAAGATGTTGCTCTTATTCTTGTCGTTGATTGGATATTGTAAGTATTCGATGAAAATTTTCAGTTTTTATGAATACATGTCTGTGGAAATCAAGCCTTTAAGCTTTTCGGGACAAAACAGTTTTAGCGGCTGTATTGTTGAAAGTTTCAGCAAAAGCGTTACTTATAAATGCTCATACGGCCCCTTATTGATTTTTGGCTGCTCTTCTCAGAGCACAGGATAAATTAGATTAGTATATTATACTTTTAATGCAAATATTTCTGGCGGTAAGAACTTTTGAGAGATTCGGACGAAATGTATTCGTGATAGTCATAGTTACAAGATTGGCACTGCTTAAACAAAGTTTAGAATTTCACTTCTGTTTTTAGAGTAGTTTCATAAAAAATTTAATTTGATGTTTAGTAAAGGGCTATCATATTATTATGATCTCTTATAAATCCATACCTTAACGCGGAAAAGCTTTTTCCAATCACGCGCATTTTCACAATTTTTTTTAATCTTTCAGGAAAAATTATTGTTTTTATGTGTTTTTCAAATATTTGTTTTAATCAATTGCTTTGTAGTTTTTTTCAAAAAATTCTTCTATTATTACGTGTTTGCAAAACTTATAAAAATAGTTAGATAGTTATCTGATTCGCCTGATTATTCAAGTGCAGAGAACATTTAGACATATTTAGAACGATTTCGATAAAGATTTTTTTTTTTTAAAGTAAACGTTGTGAAATTAAAATGTCTGGCAACAACTTATTATTTGAAATAAGAAATATTGTTTGCTACTTTTAAGTTTATTTTTCTTTCAAAATATCATATGTAAACAAGCCAGGGCTTGAAAGATATGTTTTTGCTCTTTCCGAAGAGAAATACTCCTATTCCATATTTCGAAAACTTTATAAAATGTCTGGTGTTAAAATTTCCAAGTGGAAAATAAGCAGCATTATTAATTGAAAAGGAGAAAACCGTCAGTCATTACTTCTGCGTGAAAAGAAGAATTTTATTCTTCTTAGAGCATTGGCTATTGAAACCGGCATGTAACATAAAGAGACTGAATCGATGTGTAAATTAGTTTTTCCATGTGATATTTATGTTGGTTTGAAATGTTGTTTTCAGTTTATCATTTCAATGCTTTTTGTTTTGATTTTCATCCTACTGAAGTAATGTTTTCCTGTTACAGGGACAGGTTCAGGACGACCATCAATGTTTTAGGTGACGCTTACGGATCTGGAATTGTAGCACATCTCAGCCAAAAGGACCTCGAAGAAATCAACTTGGATGAGCTCAATATGGAAATGACAACACTATAAAACTGAAAATCAATATCATGTGAACTGTCAAACATTTTGGTGTACCGGTGCACACCATTGCTACCCGACTTTTTCTGAATTCGAGTGCTATTTATTCGCTTCTATTGAGTCAGGAACTCTAGGTTTCTGAACAGGGCGGGTCATTTTTTCATTCTCGTAGACTCTCATAGATAACTGAAATGTAGACTGCACATCACCCTGAACGTGGGTACTTCATGGGCGTGCTTTTATTATTCGTGCACATGAGTGCTGATTCTTTGCATGCCCGAGGACTAAGAAAAGTAATTCGCTGGCGAGTTCGGATTGATAATTTTTTTTTAATTTTCCATCTCGAGCCAGGTTTGTAAATAACATATATATACATATGTATACATATATATACATTTTTTTTGCACTTATTTGTTACTTTTAAAATAAAAAGTAAAAAAAAAAAAAAAAAAAAAATCATATTTTTGCTTTCACGTTTAATTCTGTTCTTTCAAACTTCTTCACATGTGATATCTTTAAGGGCCTTACACACTCAACTTATCGAGCAACAAGGTGCTTGACGTAATGATTGGTTTTCGGAGCCAAAAGTTGTTTCTGGTCGTGTTGCCCGCTTAGCAGCTTCATCATTTTATGCCAAAACAGCGCTGCAGGAAATATTTCAGAGCATGTACCGTTCATTTGAGTTTAATTGTTTAAAATATGCCGAAGGGTATGATAATAAATTTCTAGTTTAACACGTGATTAAATTAAATAACCGGATATTATTTGGCTAGAACTGAATCCTCTTGTTAATATATGTTCAACATTTATGATTGTGGCAAATTATTATTAAAATTTTAATATGTATAATGGGTTACTTACGTATTATCTCGTTGACCTTGAAAGTTAGCTGCCATAAAACCCTGAATGCTGGCGGAGATCTTGCCAGAATTCCGACATTCGTTTTGAGCCGCACTTCTATCTGAAAATTTTAACAATAAAGCATTCATCAGTCTCATTGCACAATCCGCGAATTAGTTACCGCTGCAGAAGTAGCCGCCCAGGTCAGAGAGTTGTTAGTGTAACTGACTGCTGTATCGAAGGGCCTGGGCTCGAATCCAGAAGACGTGGTTGTTTGTAAGTGTATAGTGTCTGTGCGATAAGGAGCACACTCAAAAATCACGGCGAACCGAAATCTTTTAGAGAGGCTGGTGACAGAGGAAGAGGGGGAGACCGTCTGACCACCTGCCGGGGTGCTCTTCCTTGAAATTCCTCGGGCAGATAACTCATAGTTAGCTAGGTTAAGCAATACCTCAATCACCTATGGTATTACAGAGGTTCTGGCCTAGTTACTACCTGTACTTGCTGCGGAAGTATTCGACTCGTTTTCTAAAGAGACCCATCGATTTCTTCCATTTTGTTAGGCCCTCAGATTTTACTGGAAGTTCTGCTTATTACAACAAATTTCACGTATGTTCCAATGCTGCCAAATCCATCTGCTCTCTCTTCAACAACTTTCTCGTCCAAATCCAACTGTTCTTTTCTCCCCACAACAGATTTTAATTCTCTGGATCAAAACCGGGATGCAGTAATTCTACGTAGTTTATCGAGAATCTGTCAGGGTTGCATCAAAAGAAGGCGCAGGAGTTAGGAGTGCGCTGTCATGCTTACCCATAACCGATGTTAGCTTGCGTTTGGCAAGAGTTTCACTTTTCAATTTGACAGATCAGTTTCACATTGAAATTTAACACAAATTATGAAAATAACTGTTTTTAACTTCTTTAAAAGTGTCTTTTAGGATTTTTCTTTCTCAATGCCTAGCAGTTTCTCACTCCATTGCTACAATAGCCCGCATTCTTCTCAGCCTCCATATGTTGCATATTTAAATTTAGTTAGCTATTAAAGTGCCTTCATTTGACCTTCCTGTGCTTAGAACTTTCTGTATTTACTGAAATTCCAAGTTCCAAAAGCACACGTAAGGGATAAAGCTTAACTAACATGCATAGTATCTGGTAGTGCAACTAAAATGTAACAAAAACACTGCTGCTTTAGCTGGAACATTATCCAGAAGTTTCATCAAATGAAAATGTCCGGTCAGCAGTTGCAGAGAGAGTGGCATGACAATACTCCTCATCATGTACGGCACACGAACGCTGCCACTGAACTGAAGTTACCTCCTATAATACTCATAACTACTATCCAAAGATTGTTATACTCCATGCCTAGCCGTGAGTCAGCTGCTATTTTTTACCAAAAGGACACACTAGGAATTATGATTTCTGCATGTTCTGGACAACAGAGAAACTGAAAATTTTAATCATTTCATTCTTCCATTATGATATATTTGTAAAATTTATAAGAACATGCTAACTGCTTCCTTCACAGTGCAACAACAGAAATTTAATACTCCGTTTTAAAGATTTTCTTTAAAAATAGCTACTGATGTGTTTGTTTAAAGGATATCGTTGTTTTTTCTTCATTAAAATTATTTTTCGTAAAGGTGGTTAAAAGGACATTGGGGGGGGGAAGGGGTCCGAAAAGTTCCGCGGTTCTTTGACGAATACTAATGAAACATTACAAAAACATAAGAGAATTTATTGAATCACATAAGCACCATGTTATTCGATGACGTTTTGCCCTCTGTCAGGCGGATAAAAAATTCCTCTTTTTTTATGTCATTAGGTTTATTAGTAAAGCATTTATCGACTGGCTTTTTGACAGTTTCCAAAGAAATGAACTCCAGATCATTCAGGGAATTTTGAATTTGCATCTAAAAGATGGAAGACCAAAACGGAACAAGTGTACGTAGAAGTGGGCGAATTCCGCGAAGAATTTCGCCATTGTTCTTTACAGGTCTAGTCCTGCCGCACTTACTGAGCAATTCCGGTCCAAGAACATTCCAGGAGGACAGTCCAAGGGTCTTCCACCTTTCTTCCCTATTCATCAGCCTCTCGAGAGGGCTTTTGGCTCGAGGAGTACTTGAGCACCCTCCTGCCGTATAGACATTATACGCTTACGAACACACATGCCTTTTTCGGGATTCAAACCCGGGCTCATTGGTACTATACCGGCTCATCGGGACTAGTCAGCTTCATGAACCACTATACCAGCTGGGCGGAGAAAATCTGAGACAGCAAGATGTAGTGAATATGGGGGCTACAAGAAAACGTCGCAGCCATACTCAATAAGTCTTCGTCTGACATTAATCGAAATGTGGGACCAAGCATGATGGAAGTTAATCACTAGAAGATTGGTCAGTTCTGGGTGCTTTGCTTCTATTGCTGCTTTTAAAACTGTCTTTTCTTAAATTAAAAAAAATGTATAATATGACGAAAATTAACTATGTTCTCCAGTCTTTTAGCATTGCGTTGTAACAAATAGGTTCCAACAGATGCTATAATTAAGTAACGTATGCAGGAAAAGACGTGTTTAAACATCCGCTTCGATCAAGGTCAATCCATAAAAGCCGTAATAAAATAATTAAAAGAAAACGCGCTTAGATTTGAAAAACGGCAAAACTTTTCGGATGGCCCAATATTTTCATTTAAAGTCTCTCACAACAACCTTGACTTTAGAATAGATTTATAGATAGATCTCAGTTGATTTGAAGTGAAACAGGTACAGGTCCCTCTTAGTCAGGAGCAAAAAGTCTCCCAGAATGGAAAGCTATGGATGCAACAATCGTACACTCCACAGTTTAGCATAGAAAGCAGCACCATCTATCAGCAAAAATATTAAAGAAATAGAAAAATTAAGTTCATAGAATTCTAAAAGCGTTAGAAAGGACTGGATTGTATTTAAAATTATTAACTAAACAAGGTAAATCTTTATGAATTCGGAAAGCTTCAAAACAATCCAATTCACCAAGTGAAGAAGCTTTTTGAATGACATTTTTTGCAGACCCGAAGTCAAAATTATGACTAACTTTCCAACAAAATTCTCTTCTGTTTTCTCTAGAAGTAGTTTAGTATTTATATGAATATAATAAATACAGTTTCAATAACACAGCCCATCCAGAAGGGAAAGGTATTTTCAAACCTTTCTTTCTCTAGTAAAATCATTTTATGATATATGCTGGTTTCAAATTATAAGCCCTTCAATTATCACAAGGAAATATTTTCTGTATAGAAAATGCATTTGTCATGCATGAAAGAAGTCATCTGTGCTCACAGAAAAGAATATAATGAAACAGTACTTCATTTTGAAGTTACATACGCAGAAATAGATGATTACTTCCACTGCAGATTTATTACTCATGCGCTTTCTGAAGAATTGCTTACTTAAAAAATTGCTTATTTAAAATTTCGTACATTTCAAATGACCATACTGACCTAAAAAAATATAAAATTTGTCATAAAATGAGACTGCCTTTTTAATGTTAGGGTAGATTATCTGCACATGAAAAAGTCACGAGTGCTATCTGCTGAAGAAGAGGGATGCCTTCGTGGAGGACTTTCTGAGGAAAACTGTCCCATATTAAAGTTCCACATGGATCAAACCACGAACGCCAACCATGGAGCCAACCCGTTCGTCTGTGTTCGAACCCAAAGAAAGTCAAACTACCAACATTCAGTGGTTTTAAATACTCGGCCACTAGAACAGCTCGCATATTTAAATGCTTTTTACTAGATATAAATCTGCTTAAATAATATATATTTGTATACTGCATCAGTTCAACAAAGAAAATAATTAAACTATTCAAACCATGAATATTAAAAAAAAAAAAAAAAAAAAAAAAAAAAAAAAAAAAAAAAAAAAAAAACTTAGTAAATGTATGAACTTTTTACGGAAATCTTAAGGCAGCAATGGTAAATTTCTTAGCACATGCTTTTTAATGTTAACTGGCACACAAAAAATGCTAAAAGCTTTCAGATGACAGTTTAAGGATAGGAGCTGAAATTATTAGATAATTATTAGAAAAGATTTTTTCGAATATAGATACGAAAAAGTTTGAGGATTCTTTCACGTTATGGGAGGATAGGAGGGTAGACGTTTTCTCCTTTGACCTTCTAAGATCACCTGAGTGAGACACATTTTTTTTTCCCTCTTTGCTTTTCTATTATAGAATGACAAACTACACTATACCTATATGCGCAAGGAAAATGATGCCTTTGAGGAGGGTGTGATAAAGAAAATTAGGTCGTATTCGCGTAAGCATGCAAACAATTATGAAAGTGTTCATACAGCCAGTCCGTTCGACGTGTTTAAACCGGAAAACAACTATCAGTCTTTATCTTATCCGTTGAAATCTTTATCTTATCCGTTTAACCGCAGGTAAGACAGTTTAATAAAAACATATTATTTTATATTCTGGCCAATTATGGTGTTCATTATTTGTTTCGCATAATAAATAAGGCTGTAA